TGTCGAATTTCGAAACTTTTTCCATAAAACGCTCCTATAAAATACCCCGGGATGTGGACTTCAGCACAAAATTCGACCGGCGTTCGTCATCTACATGGCTAAGAAGCAAATATACCGAGTTTGAACCGAACCGGGAATTTACTAAGTCTCCTTGTTAGCGGAACAGAACAACTTTTCCATCTGATGCGGGACTTAGCCTTACAACCCTAGGACCCACTGTACCGCGTTACGAGCAAACACCAGAACAAATTGTTCCAGGAGAGGAACTACGGAGAACAACTTTTAAATCTAGAAGGGCTTCACAACATGGGAGGGGAAGAGGAAGAGGAGGGGGGGATGCTGTCCCTAACTAGGTGTGGCTAGCGGGGTAAGGCCAAGGACAACCACAGGCCGTCGCAGGGAGAGGCTACGGGGTAAATACCCCCGGTAGACTCGAACCCACCCCGCCCTGCCCCAAGACAACATCTTTCCTCCCCTGATTTATAACCTAACTGCCCCGCCTCCCGTTTAGAAATGAGAAGTTCCGGAATATGTCCCTCATCGGACTCAGTCCGAAATCCGTCTTTCGGACAAGCCCGAAAAGACGTAAAATAAGCCACTTTTCGGAACATGTCCGACGCTCTGGGCTGGTGCGACATCGGACTCGTTTCGGACTCACACTAAAGGGACGCCCGAGAAAAAGCAGAGAAGACGAGTATTCGATTCCCTGCTCTTCGGACTTGTCCTTTCCTAACCGACGCTCTAACCAACTGAGCCATGCTGACTTCTTGGACACGATGCCATCGGGCCGCCTCTTCAACTACTCGCTCTATAGGCAAAGCGTCGTGCTCTGTAGTGGGCGAACGAAACGACGTATACGAATGCGGTTTTCGACAATAATGTAGGCAAGGGACGCTCTACGATGTCTACTTGAGTGCGATACAATACAACAAAATTTATCTTACAACAAAAATAATAAAGTGAACTTTAAACTACATATATAATGCATGACTGTAACATTCATTTTTGATTATAAATGAAGGGTGTGAGCTGATACAGAAATATAAAGGCAGACACCGATACTAGATTCAGTCTTCAATCACAAGTTATTGACCAAATTTAACTTTGAAAGGGGACTTAAACAAAATTAGGCTTCGAAGTTCGCGTTAGGGATAGTCAAATAAGAGGAGCTCTGCCCAACTGGGTCTGGTAGTGGACGCAATTCGGACTCGTCCGTACCTTATGACCGTACCGGGGCTGTTATCGGGTTTAGTCCGATGCGCAGCGGACTAAAATCGGGCGAGGAAGGGATTCTGGAACACCGTCCGGACAAGCCCGATGTTGGTCGGTCCGATGGAGGGCTGAAACCGGGCTAGTCCGAACGGCGCACGGACTAACCGCGGAACAGTCCGAAGCTTGACGGACTGTTTCGGAACAAAAAGGGAACAAGATACGGAACTTTTCATTTTTAAACGGGCTCCACTCGGGGCATCAGCAGCAGCATCAGGAGCCCCCTCTGCCACCGCGACGTCTATGCCATGCCCCCCCCCCCGAAAAAAGAACAGAACAAAAACATCCAGCGGGGTAAAACCCGAAAAAAAAAAAAACCCTCGCCGCGACAGTGTGGGTGTGCACTGTGCAGAAGAGACACATACCACACCACAACGTCCCCGACCCAGCCCGCAGATCCCAGCGGCACTGACCCGGGCGGAGCCGCGGCCCTTGCCCTCGCGCTCCCCACGACGGCGTCAGCCAGCCAGGGGGATGATCTCTGCCCCGCCCCGCCACGCCACACACCCGCAGCGCGCAGCCACCGCCGCGGTGGGCTCCAAAAATGAGTCACGCCTCGCGCTAAATATGTACATGAATTAGCCATAACCGGGCTAACGCGGCGACGGCTTGCCGAGCTCAGAGTGGCAGCCCGGGGGATCCGGGATCAGGAGGGCGCCGCGCTGTTACACCGTCAAGAGAGCGACCGCCAAACCGACCGCGCGCGTCACATTCGTGAGAAAGTCACGAGACCCATACCGAGTGATAGATACAGCGACGCGAAAAAAAAATCGAAATTTTTATGCATCGAGAGACTTTTGCTTCGTGGAAAATGCAATGCTCTTTAGATCGAATGCAAAATTAATTATCAGTACATAGACTACAATCGCCCAGTACTTGAAACCAACTAAAAATCAAGAAGTTATTTTTTCTGATTGGGTAATTTTCAAATCATATATAAAAAGTTGCCAATCAATTTACAATAATTAAGAATGGCGACTTTGCCACCGTGAGCTTTGCAGCTATTGGAGAGATTTGCGATGTAAAACGTATGCGAAGATGGATTCCTGAGCAACACTGAATCATTGAAAGAGAAACACAAATTGAATATTCCCGGAGAAGCGGGTTGGGGCGCTATGTCGGGATGGTCTACCCGTGGTCTGACGGTGGAGCAGCACGGCCTGGGGCGGGTCGGAGCGGGTCGGGGCGTGGCAGGGCGAAGCGGAACAGAACCTTCCTCTTGCTCCGCGCGGCGGCCAGCGGCGGCGCGGCGGCCAGCCCAGCCAGGAACAGCTGGGTCGTGATTTCCCAATTAAAACTCAAAGCGGAGTAATCCGCCTTGTTCCGCAGGTAACGGCTCTGGCGAGGCACCGCGCGGCGGGAAGTGGCGGAGAGTGGCGTGGCGTGGCGTGGCGTGGCGTGGCGGGGCAGGGCGAGCCCGCGGGCATGACGCAAGGCAGTGCAAGCGGCCATCCCTTCGCTTGCTTCTCTTTGCACTTTGTTCTGAGCGCTACATAGCTTTCACTCTCTCTCCCTCTGTTTCCTCATGAATCTGTAATTTTCTCTCGTGACACAAATGAAATAGGAAAAAAAACTGTCGCGTACGAAACTCGCCCTTTTCTTTTGGCAGTGTAACCCCCTCCCCCCTCTTTCCCTTATTTTTTTTTCCGCTTGCTTTTACTGGCCGCTCGCGGGCGGGGCAGTACTGCGTGGATGAGAGGGTGAGATGGAGGGAGGGAGAGAGGGAGGGATGGAAAAAAAATCCCTGGCTGCGGTGGGATATTGAATGCGGGGTGCCCGGGCTGTGTAAATAAAACTGCCTTTTCCATATACTTAACCTCAAATAATTTCGCCCCTCTCGCGGCGGCACCGGCACCAGGGGCCCGGCGGCGGCACTTTCCACTTCGATATACGCTTTGATTAGGGCCTTCACACCACACCACACCATCCCCCGACCCCCTCCCCTAGGAACCTCCCCCATCGACATTGCCCCGCTTCGTCTCTCCCGCGCTGCGACAATATTAACGACGCCTCGTCAGCGGTATTCGACTGAAAACGATGCGGTTGTTTAGAGAACGGCGACGAATAAAAAAAGACTCTCCAGTGGAAAGTGTTTTCAATGCTAAATAGAGGGGGTGACCTCGGGGTGACCATGAACGGGGACGTGAGTGGGCGAGAGGGAGGTGAGGGGGTTTGTGTTTACACTGGAAAAACAAAGGTGCTATCTATGCCTTTTCAGAGGCGTTAATGAAATAGTGCCAAAGTTGCTACTGGCCTCCAAAGGTGCTATATTGTCGGCAATTTTGTGTGAAAAATATCTTTGTGTATTGAAAACATATTTTGTATTTTCGATATACAGAATCTGTTGTAAATTGATGACAGTCCATTCTTGCTTTATTGGCAATAAATTCCAAGCAGTCGATACAGCCCCAGAATCAACTCAATGCAGAACGCTCTTCAATTGCTTCAATGCGCGTAAAAATGCACATAAAAGGTGACACATTGGTTACGCTTTTAAAGCGCTTCAAAGCATTGAATGCACACTTAGTGCGGATTACGCGCATATAATGCGTTGGGAATGTGTCACCTTTTCTGTGCATTTCTACGAGCATTGCCGCAACTAAAGCACATTGAAGTGCATTAGCGCTACTGGAGGTTGATTGTAATTTTGCAATATTTTAAATTGTATTTTTACAACACTAGACACACTAGAGAGGGCTGTTTAGACAAAAAAAGTGTTTACATATCTAGCGAGCTAGTTCTGAAAGTGTTCTACGTCCAGAACCATACCATGGTTATAAATAGAATTTTGTTGGATTTTATTAGGATGGGGGAAAAAGATGCCCTGCGCCGTTAACCTTTAATATGGGGACTTACAGAGAAAAAGTCCAAAACGTGAAATTTGCCATTTTGAGCGTTCAATAAATGCCAGATTTTTCGAAGAACTCTCACAGAAATGAAAATGAAAATCCTAGGCATAGCTAGCGGTGAAGCCAGGAACGATTACGCTCTATTGTTTTTGAAATGAAGAGCAGTGTGTTGGGGATGGGGCAATGGCGATATTTGTGATTATGGCTCCACAATGTAGGAGCTCATCCTTTATTGCTGCAAATATTCTAAAGGCAAAATTTAATTTCTATGCCGGTATAAAAGGGAAAGAAAACAAAACTTGAATCGAAGGAAACAGAAATTAAATTACTAGATAAGATTAAACTATTAGATAACACAGGCTTGTCAGTCCGTATGGACCCAGTGGCCCCAGCCGTCACCGAGTTTAAGACTGTGATCAACAGAACATTTTTTTTCCGGATCATGGCAGAACAGGAAATAGTTAGAGAAAAGACTACTCTCCTGTAGTACTGCTGCATGGCAACCTTTCGCGCATGCCTGACAAAACTTGTCCCCGCAGTACATCTCGCCTCGTAGAATGAAATGGAGAAGGGGGTTTCGCTCCATGAGGGTCTTGAACGCGTCGCCGTGGAACCAGGCATGAACGCACACCTTGCCTTTTGTAAAATCGAGCTCAAGTTCAACTCTCTGCAAGGCGGGTGCAGTGATGGGGGTGATGGCCAGCACAAGGTCGTCGACGTCCTGCTTCACGTCCACACGAGCCTCCAGAAACTGCAGGGCCGGCAGCCCAGGGAGTGCACGGATCAGCGCTTGCACATGGGGACCGGTCACAATCGTTGAAATTGTTAGCCACTCCAGACGGGAGCGTCCGGACGCGGCCAGGGCGCAGATGAGGTCCACCACCACGCCGGCGTTAGCTTGGACAGCGCCGAGCGTCAGTTTCCGCAGGTGCTCGGCGTGACGAAGGAGTTTGGCGGCTCCTGCGCAGGCAGCCCGGTCGACCGGAGGATACTCATGTCTGCTGACGCCGAGGCGCAGGATCCGGAGCGACTGGCAGCCAGTCAGGGCCTCCAGTCCGCGGAGGTTGCAGCACGACAGCTCCCGGAGGTGCGCCATGCCGGCCAGAAGGGGCGCAATGGAGGCCGCGAACATGTTGGGCGGGGACGGTCCGAGGTCCACAGTCTCGAGAGTGTCGGCGTGCCCGGCCAGCATGAAGAGCACGAACGGCTCAGCCCCCGGGATGCGGTCACACCGGAAATTCTTCAGAGATGGAGTCGTCACGGCGCTGCCAAGAGCGACAGAGGCCGTGGTTCGAAAACTTGGGACAACTGTACGAATCATACTTATATCTATCTCTTTCCAGCCACGCGTAGACGCCACAGCTGCCAGGAACATGGAGATCATAGACGCGGAGACTCTCTCCTCGATATTTACTCCAAGCGAGACTCCAAGGCACCTCAGCCGGCCAAGTCCCGCCTGCCTAAGTATCAGCGCAGTGGCAACGCCAGCCTCTACGTCGTTATGCACCCATAGTTGCAATTCGGCTACGGCGCACCTGGTCGAAGCTAACGCCGCCGGGAGGCAGCTGTTCGCAGTGATTTTTGCTGACGTCGTGTCTAACCGTCGGAGACACGGCGCCAGGCGCAGCACCGAACACATGCAGGGTCTGCGGGCCGCGCCGACCTCTCGATGCAGCCACGCATCGGGGTGCAGCACAAGGTCCCCGAGTCTCCTGCACACCAGGCGGCACGTCAAGAGCGAGGGCACGTCCAGGAACCGCAGCACCTGCAGCACCGCGTCGTCCGAGAGCTGCTCCATGTTCTGCAAAAACACGATCGGGCTAGAGGGATCGGATCGAGGAACACATCAATTTGCAGCAACTGACCGTCTACGCCGAGCGAGCACAGGGCGATACGATATTTATAAAGAAGTCTGGCACCTGTGTTCTTAGGGACTAACATTGGGTCCATACTGGCGAGCAATTTGCTTCGCTTAGTAATGAATATGCCGAATAAGAACAGGAAAAGTGGCGGAAAAACGAAAAACATCAGAAGAATCTGCAAGATGTCCCCCCCCCCCTCCCTCCATTTAAAAGTTTCACGGAAAAATGCCGAAAAAAACGTTTATTCCCGGAAAATTACATTTTTTCCAACTTCCCTACTTCGCTTGCTGAGCTTTGTACAAACGGACAATGCGATGGCTTCGCAAACTCTCGCATTCAAATCGACACCCAACACCCTGCTTCGCTCTCAATGTCCGCGGTGCGCTCGTATATTTTTGCCAGTGTCGCGCGCAGCCTCACGGGCGCTCCGCTACGCGCTGGGTGAGAATGAGGCGCGGGTCGGCGCGTGCTGGAGTGTCAAGTCGCCACGCGCCGCCACGCGCGCGCCACCGCGGGCAGAGGGCGCCGTATGCAAAACGCCGACGTCATATTCTCGTCGGAAAATTGTTTATTCGAGCTCTCGACACGTCGGGCACGTCGTTTTATTGGGCACCGCTGAGGCAGGCGCCACGGCGCCGAGGCTTCGCGGCTTCATATTTCAAGCGCCGCGATACGCTGCGCCCGTCTGCCGCTGACGTCTTATAGGCGGCGATAGTAATCAGCGTCGTCACCGATCCACTTGAAAATCAAAGGTGCCAAGTCGCACCTTTAAAAGGTTTTTAGGTTCCCCTTTGGAATTCAGAAAACAAGTTTTTTAGAGAACCTATGATAAACTTCGAGATAAATTTTAAGCAGTTAATGTAGTACTAAAAGTATGAACGAATAACGATTATTGACTGATTGTTATGATGTTTAAGAAGAGTTGAAATAATGGGGTTTGTTTTTCTCCTTTCATATATAAGGGTGTACAAAAAAAAAGTCCATGGGGAAAAGAAGATTAAGATTGACGTAAAAGCACACGACAACAACACGTAGGATGAAAACGCGGGGTCTGAGCAGGAAATGAGGTTACAGTAACGCATTTTCCACGCGAGCAGGGAAACGACCAGGAAAACACACGCGCGCACACACACACACACACACACACACACACACAGTTACGCAGGACGCAGGCTTGTTGTTCTCGGAGATAAGGGGACGCGTACGACATGATTGATCCGGCGGACTGCGCGTCGCGGGGGTCGTGTTTTTGCGGCGACCGGCGACGCTCATCAGGTTCGCCACGGGCGATTGATCGCGTCTGTGTGTGTGTGTGTGTGTGTGTGTGTGTGAGAGAGAGAGAGAGAGAGAGAGAGAGAGAGAGAGAGAGAGAGAGAGGGGATGGGGATCAAGACGGACATAGGGGTGCAGGAGGGTGGTTACCGCCGCACCCTCGCCCCGCACGCGTGTCCTGCTGCCGCCGGTGAAATTCTAGTCGCGCGCACCGAGGGGAGGAGGAGGGAGAGGGTGCTCGGGGTGGGGTGGGCGGTGGAAGCAGGCGAGCGCGGGCGAGAAAGAGACGACGAGAGACAAAAAGATGTGCAGGGGGGTAGTATCGCACATGGGGAGGAGGGGAAAGAGGGCGACAAGAGAGAGATAGTGATGTCCATCGGGCAGGCAATGAGGCATGCGCGCGCGGGCGGACGCGCGCCGGACGGGCGCGGCACCGCGACAAGACATTCCTCCAGATCGTTATCGCCATCACGTGACCACGTGACCGCCGGCCGCGCTGCTGGGGGATGATGATGGTCCTCCTCACGCTGGCGGTGGTCGGGATGGTCTTGTCGTTCCCCGCCCGCGCGCGCTCGCCTTCCCCGTTTCTGCTCTAAATCAAGCTTATATCGCCACAATCCCAGAAAAGAAAAAAAAGCACAAAAAATAGTCCAACAAAATCATTGGACACACCCACTCTTGCCACCCTCACAGAAAAAAAAAAGTTGCCATAATTTCGCCTGGTGCGATGATTATTTTTCCCTCGTTGCGCGCGCATGACGAACGAGAAAATGATGTCGTTTGCGCCGTATGTGTCTGTGTGCTTTTAGAGGTACATACTTTTTGTAGTGCGTGTGTTCTCTTTTTTGTGTTCCATTCCACCTCTCGTTCTCCCCTAGCAGTAGCAGTGCAGCGACATGCGTTTTGAAAAAGAATATTATGTGTCTAACACGCCCCTCTTCCCCCCGTAAAAAAACAACGAATAAAATTGCCACGAATGTCGAGAGATGATAAACAACTGTCAATAACGGCTCGCTTTTACATCCCCCGTTCCCGTTAGCGTGTCCGCACCGCGTCGACCAGTGTCACAGGCTAGATGAGTATTTCGCTTTATGTACGTAACGCTCAAAGCTAGGGGGCACAAGAGGGGTCCTCTGCCCTCTGCCGGGGGTATGGGATGAGAGCACGCCGGCTGCTACATCTAGGGGCTTTAGGCCTCTAAGACCCTGCGGCCAGAGAGGCCAGGTGCAGCAGCAGCAGCAGCAGCAGCAGCAGCAGAGAGATGTGTCCAGCCCGAGGGATGCAGCACTGACCCTAACCCCGCCCCAATCCCCTGGGCCCGCTGCTGCTGCTGGACAATGGGGTGGTGCCGGCCCGGCCGGGCGTCACATCGCAGCGTCACGGCGCGCTGCGTCCTTGCGTCCCCGTGCAGCGGTCCAGTGGTGACGGCTTTATGGCTGCTGCAGCATCCCCCTCCTCTCTCTCTCTCTCTCTCTCCATCTCGTCCGTACAGTCTCTTTCTCTCTCTCGCCCCCCCCCCCCTCTCGCGTATTTGTTTTCTGCCACTGATGCTTTTGGGGAGAAACACAACGCCACCGTGGCGGCCGCCGCCGTCCCTTGGCAGGACACACGAGGCGTATGACTCCCAGTTTTGAGGGGAGAATCAGCGCCAGAGAGCGCCATTCCGTGGGGTGGTCCAGCGGCGCACCCACACTGTCACAAACAGGAGCATAGGGAACGGGGCGAGTTATTTATCGCCTGAACACATAACGTGCAACCGGAGGGTAAATGAAACGAAAAATAATAAGAATACTATAAAATACAAACGTCTACAACAGTCTACTCTGTAAATTTCTGGGAGTTTATAAAATGTTGTGCATGTGTATGAGTAAGTGCGTGCAGAAGGGCGCAGGTGGCTGCGGCCGAGGTTGTGGCCGGCTCTGTAGCAGATGTGCCCTCGCTGGAAAAACGGGCGTGCGACAGAGAGAGAGAGAGAGAGAGAGAGAGAGAGAGAGAGAGAGAGAGAGAGAGAGAGAGAGAGAGAGAGCCACAATGGGCTGCTCCAGCCAGCCTGGAAGTGTCCGGCCGGTGACAAATGAACACGCCCGGCTGGCCGCCGCTGCGCTGCGCCTGGGCGACACGGCGACGCCGCGGGCCGTGTTCCTGCGCCGTCTTTAGGATGAGCCAGCCGGGCCGCCTCATGTCGCCGTGCGGCAGAAATTAATGACGCTAATCGGCCGGCCATGACAAGCAGCCCCTCCTTAAACCAACCCTCTGCACTGCATCCCCCTTCCACCCCAACCCGCACCGAATTCCATTCTTTGTTCCGCGATTGGTTCCCGCCGCCCGGGCCGCCCGAGGTGCAGCAGCAGAAGCTCCGCTCCATCCCCGAGTGATTTCAGACATTCTACTCCATCAATAAACACATCATCGCCGTGCATCACCACACAA